CTGCTGCTCTGGATGTCTGAGCTTGTGCAGAAGAAGGTGCTCAGCAGTTCACCTTGCAGCCTTTTATGCTTAGTGTTAGTGGCAAGGCTATCTCTATGGCTTCTGCTGATTTACCTGATATTTCACTGGAGTACCATGAATTTGCTGATGTATTCAGTGATTCCCTTTCTGAAAAACTCCCTGAGCATCACCCTTACAACCTCAAGATCAACATTGAGGAAGGCTCCACTCCTCTGCTCAGTCCCATCTATTCTCTTTCCAAATCCAAACTAAAAGCCTTATGTGAATTCATTGATGATAATGTCCATAATGGTTTTATCACTCCTTCCTGTTCTCTGCATGGAGCTCTGGTACTGTTTGTCAAGAAGAAGACTGGTGAACTTAGACTCTGTAGATTATTGTGGACTTAATAAAATCTCTAAAAAAGACTATTGCCCTCTGCCCCTTATTTCTAACCTCCTCAACTCCATGCATTCTGCTTGTCTCTACACCAAGCTAGACCTTTGTCATGCCTACCATCTTGTCTGCATAGCTGAGGGTGATGAATGGAAAACTGCTTTTCAGATCCACTATGGTTTCTTCAAATAGTGTGTCATGCCATTTGGACTCACCAATGACTTTGTCAACAACATCTTCTCTGACATGCTCAATGTATCCATTGTCGTATACCTCAATGACATTGTTATCTACTCTGACAATCTCAAGGAACACTGAAAACACATATGTGAAGTCCTATGCAGATTCCAAGCCAATGGCCTCTACTGCAAGGGTTCAAAGTGCAAATTTCATCAGGATTCCCTTAAATATCTTGGTTATATCTTCTCACCCAAACGCTTACACATGTTCAAAGACAAGGTCAAAGCTATTACTGACTGGCCAGTCCTGCAGAAGGTCAAGGATATTCAATCCTTCCTTGGCTTCACTAATTTCTACTGCTGTTTCATTCACAAGTACAGTGAGATCATCCTGCCCTTAACATGACTCACTCACAAGGGTACTCCATGGAAATTTGATGATGAATACCTGGTCGGTTGGGTATGCACTCAGTTCTTTAGCACCTTAATAACCAATGCAGAGCATAGGGATATGCGCCATTTACTTATACGTATGATGTGCATCTGGTCATGTAGGATACACAACAGTCAATGTAGTGCATGAGATCATCCTGACAGAAGGGGTGTGCAATAATGAGACATGATAGGCAAACATATTCCTCAAGTCACCTTCCGAGACGGGTTCCTGGATATAGTCGCCATGAGAAATCTTCTCATTTATGGTCATGCTCTGGCTCTCCATGAAGACTCAAATGTCATGGAGGTCAAGCTGGGTGTGGCTGCATACGGTGAATTGATGAAGTGGATGGATGGTAACCTGATTCTTGAGGATCTGATGGGCTCAACACATCAGTTCAGAGTCTGTGAGATGATTCGGAAAGGCCCTACTGGCTTATAAGGACGTTGTGAGGCAGAACAAGGAGACCTTCAACCAGGTCTCAAAGGCCTACAGAATGAATGAACAGCAATTACAAGGTGATGTTTGTCAGGCTTTTATGGAGGCATTCAGGGAAAACTTGGACCTGGATGTTGCTGATGCGATGGGAGATGAGATAACTGAGTGCCCACTCCTCCTCTGGTCCCCGGGGTTCGAGATTTGCTTGTGGAAGCATGAGTCGTGCTTATAGTTGGCCTAGGATGTTGCTCACATGGTCTTGCTAGATGTTCCTGAAGACACTGAGGTTGATTTGGGGAGAGAGAACCTTCCAGCTTTGCAAGAGGATCAGGAAGACTGGGGCAGGGACATACACGTGGACTATAACCCTGAAGAACTCTTTGAGGTCCATGGTTATTATGATTTCACCCTTATCTTATCTACTCATCATAATGCTGCTATGCTAAATGTCTGATGCTAATCGCACAGAGCTCTGCATATTAACACATGTGAGGACTCTTGTAGTATTATTAGAATACCCAAAAGTGTATATAAGTATCTCGACTGTAGGTCCTAAACCTCAGTCTCGAACTAAAGTTTATTCACCTGATAACTAGTCTGAAACTCACTCTCAAATACTAAGCATACATGCTTCCTGCACACAAACCTGCTTCAGTATTAGCACCTGACCAAAGTGCGAGTCATGCTGTACTGTTTGATCTTGTTTGTGTAATTGATCACTAACAATGGTAGGTCTCCAATTAAAGCTTGAGCTTTGAGTAGAGAGGATTGGTGGGCAGCACAGAAGCATAAGTTGGGTCAGATGCTAGCACCAGCTCCAGAACAGTGAAGAGGACCCACTCAGAACCCTTGAGATTTGTCAAAGGGTTGGTATGAGTTCCCCAGAGACTGTTTGCAGTGCCATGCCTGAAGGTACATAATTTGAAAGCACTACAGTAGCACTATCATGTGGTTGCAATGTATTTACCTCACTAATGTGATTTGAGTGGTCGTTCCCACACGAGACTGACAGCAAACATCAAGGAGAGGACATCAAAAGTGATTGTGTAAGTAAGGGACAAGATGATTGTAGTACTATGGTACAAGGTCACATGCAACTATTTTAGTGTGCTACCAAAATTCATCACATCTCCAGCATTGCTGCTCAATATTGGCCCTTTGGATATTGGGATCTAGCTGAAGAGCAGTAACAAGATTGATGGCAACAAGATGAGTCCCTGAGCAGATCATAGCTTCCAGAGTGTGTGCCTTGCAACCAAATGAGAAGAAGGTCACATTGTGCAGGCTCAGGCATTGAATGTGGGGAGGAGTTAGCACTACCAGCAGCTCTGAAAAAGGTAAATGCCCTTAATGTGATTGGCATCATCAATGGTCAAGTGGTGAGAGTAATAACTGACATCCAATCCTTCCTTGGCTTCACTAATTTCTACTGCTGTTTCATTCACAAGTACAGTGAGATCATCCTGCCCTTAACATGACTCACTCACAAGGTTTTTCAGTCATGGTAAAAGATGGTAAAAGAAGGGCAGGCTAGTCATTGGCCAATTGATGAGGTGAAGGGATATGGCCCAGTTCCTGATGTTCCAAAAGATAATATATCACAATGGAAAGCTGCTCATCTAAACAGCTCAGTTGATAGTCATTTAAGGATATGGTAGGGTTGTTCTGCCAATTTGCAGGCAGACTGAGCTTGAGATGAGTATGAGTATGAGGTGATGCAGCAGCCTGCAAGGCCTGGTCCACATGCTGGAGATTTAAGAGTGATTGTGGTTGCATGTGGTTGCATATTTCAGTGAGCAGTTCCATGGGTAGATCCTGATAAGAGTGATATGGACTGTTATTGGGCTGGGAGGAAGTGATGAGTTGAGTTTGAGGGCCATTGATAGCAAACAGCCAAGCCAGCAACTGGGAATAGATTTGAGATTCTCAGTGGGTTGCTAGATCTGTGACAGCCACCTGAAGATGGTAGTAGATGTGGGTGCCTGGAGAGGTTGGTTGGATTACACTAAGATGAGGTGTAGGATAGAGTCTTACCTCCTGTTCATGCGTGCATAAGCTCTGAGTCAGTCATAGTAGCCTCAAAGAAGGACACCAAGGAGTGTGGAAAATGAGAATCCCACTAACAATGGAAAGACTACTTTGAGCAAGGATTATGTCTGGGATCATGGGGGGAAGAACATGCTAATCCCTCCCATGCAACAGCAATGAATTCAAATAGTAAAAGCTGCAAAAGGTCCTGTATCCTCCCTATGAGAAAGTGATCATGAGGAATCACAAATATCTGACCTCTAAATTGTCATCATGCAGGGCAAAGACATGCATTGGTGGGTGCATAGTGCGTGAGGCACTAATAGAGAGGTTTAAGTGTACAGTAGTGAGGGAATACAAGTGATGACATGGTGTCTCACAGTCACTGTCAGGTTACAGTGACTGTAGAAATGAAAATAATTTTTCTGCTGAGTCTGGTTGACAACCGTCATGCAAAAGTCCAAAAGGTTCAAGAAGTGTTCAATTACATAGTAAGATAACATCATGTACAGTTATTTACCGGTCATTGCAACACCATGGTTCAATGAAACACTTAGCCTCTTGCTCTCCCTCCCTTCATCCTTCATCATTAATTTGTATTGCATTGCTGATGTGTATTGTATCTTCATGTTCTACAGTAATTCTTCATATGTGACATGGATAATATTCCGAGAAATTGAGGCTTCTGTTCTAAAAATATCTATTTTCTCATGAACTCAAAATCTGACCCAGAAATGTGTGTCCTCCATCTGAATGTAATCACCCACAAAGGCCTCAATAATGTTAATGACCTTCTGAAGAACCTGTATGACAAGTTTGAGACCAGGCGCCCATTATCTGAGGAGTCTAGGGCATAGATAAAAGTGTGGTTCTGCCAAGCTATTGCCTTTGATGGACAGTCTGACAGTCCAATGCGCCTATTATTGCCCCATTGCCTCCGAATTTTATTTCTCCTCTTGCTCAATTTTTTACTATGCCTGGACATGCTAAATCAAACTTGAAAAAGTGCCAGATTACTCGCAAATGCCATGACCAGCTAATGGAAAAGGCAGTCATTGCACACAAGAATGAGCTTGCCAAACTACCCGGTGCTCCTCAGAAAGATGCAAGAAAAATCTGCAAAGATTTCGAGGCTGTATATCAGAGGGAGACTGGAAAGGAGATCTCGCTTTCTTATAGCACTCGAGTGATTCCAAGTTGCTGACTAATGAGGTTTGGGTACATGGGCCGGACTGTTTCAATGACTCAAAATAGCCCAGAATACCCACGCCACAATAATGCTGTGAAAGCGGACTTGTACCTGCACCTTTGAGCATCTTTTTTTTACTGTATCTTATTGTTGCATAGTATTACACATTCTTACATTCAAACCTAGTCAAAATTCCCAACCAATTGGAACCTACAGTAAATATCCAATTTTGCTGTTTCATTGACCGGTAAATAACTGTATTTACATTTTTGAGGTGGCCGGGGATATGCCTGAGAACATGAGATTGGTGTATGTACATTTTGAAGTGACATGTTCAGGTCAAGGTGAGATCAACTGCTGCACACTGATGTTCTCCCCCACAGAAAATGGTCAGGTAATAGAACTTGCACCCATCACACATAGTCACTATGCACTGCAGAATTTTCAGGGTCATCCCATCAGGCAACAGAAGCACATGCTTGAGGTGTGCTAGTTCAGTAGCAGGTTGCTTCATATGTACACATCATTTGCCATAACACCAGGTTTGAATGACTGCGAGGTTATTTGCAAATGTTCCAGTGGGGATTCATGGAAAAATGACATACCAAAGCCTTCTTTTGGAGGTTCCTCTTTGAAGTCACTCGAAATCTCAATGACCTCATTGGAACTGGAATTTCCAGGGGAGAATTCTGAGGTGGGACCTATAAGTGGGAAAGGTGGAGAAAGATTAGGGTGAGGAGAGGGGGGAGGGTTGTCAACTTACATCGTAAGTCTGATGAGTGAGTAGGCATGGATTGCATATGAGTCACTGTCGACCTGGATGCAGTGAGTTGGAGTGATGCTAGATAATAATCTGAAGGAGTTCCATGGTTGCTTGGGGTATGATCTTGAATGTTCCCAAAGGATAATTGGTCATTGCCTGCGGAACATAGGATGAGGAAGGATGACCAGTCCTAAAGTGCTCACTCACACTCAGGCTGAAAATCCACTGATGATCAATGACTATCCTCCTGGTGCTCAGGGATATGGTCAGGGGATGCTGAATTGAGAGAAAATGGGGATAGCACAATTGTCCGAGGGGGTGGACAGTCTTCTGTGTCATCATTGAACAAGGGAGGCAGAGGCATGGTATTATGAAAAGTAATATACCATGAGCGGTGGCCTTAGAATGAGAAGATGCTTTGGATGACAACTGGGCTTTTTTAGTTGGGCAAGAGGCTGCAGGGCACAACATCTGCAGGTCCTTGGTTGTTTGCAAAGAGATGGACAATGGGTTCTGATGAACATGGTTAGCGCATGTAGGAAGAGAATTAATTGGATCATACACCACCAACAACAGCCTCTCTGCCCTTTAGCACACACGAAGGCTAGTTGTCCACAGTTTTCTGCCTGTTCACATATTTGAGACATCTATAGCAATCTAGTGGGAGTGTATTGGTCCCAATCACCTGCGAGGGGGCTGCATATACAGGAAGGAGTTTTAAGGCCTAGCTTCTTGTTTTTGGTCTGCAGCTAATTAGTGTTGAGAACTTTGTAAATGCATAGTGTGGGCTTACAAAAAAGTTGATGAGAGAGTTGTATGGAAGGTAAGTGAGGTCACCATTGACATTGTGAGAGCCAGGACTATACACAGAATGAGGATGGCAGAATAAAAGCATAGAAGGGGATCTTACTATGGATGTGCTATAAGGCAGTGATCCTCTGGATCATATGAGACAAGTTGTCAAAATGCTTGACTATTAATGATGAGAGTCCACATGATATCGTAGTCAAAGATCTCTGGCAGCATGATGACCAAGGGCATGAGAAGAGCCTAGTTGAGATCTTCTGGTAGTGGGGCATCAAGGTCGAGTTCTGCAGCGAAGGTCTCTGCACTGAGTTGGTCAAAAACAGGAGGGTGGAACGATGAGTCATGCCCAACGGAAGGTGGTAGGATGGGTGTCAGTGGCCATGCTTGGGGCTTTTTAGTGTTGGAAACAGGAGCAGGAGCAGGAGGAGCAGGAGGAGTAGGAGAGGGTTGGGTGGCAAGTCATTGAGAGTGTCGAATGGATGGGGGATACATGCAGGTGCTGGTTTTTTGGGCTTGGGAGGAGGAGGGGGAGGGGGCAGGGGAGCGAGCCTTTTGGAGCATCGAAGGCCCATGAAAGAGCAGGATATAAGGTGTGGGAGAGAGGAATGGCTTGACAGTCTGGTTGTTAAACTGTGAATGGGACAGTGGTCAAATCAGGAGATCATGTTGTTCGTAGAAAAAGAGTCAGATCTCTGACTGAAGCTGAGGAGAAAGGACAGGACATGCTGGGTTGAGTAGCAATCAGAGCCATGGATTGGATGGAAATGAGACTTCAAGAGGGAGTAAAACTTACTCAGCACTGAAGCCTCTCATGACTACTCACCTGCCCCCATGGTAGATCCACTATCTTCACTGCTATCTGCCTCTTGCTATTGACATTTATAGGACTATCACCCACTTCACTGCTTGCACTAGCATCTCCACCAATGACTGTACTTGACCTGCTCCTGCTACTGCTACTGCTACTTAATGATGTTGTAACTCGGATGCCAGTTACATCAGCTATTCCTAGTGTGATATAGATATGAGAGTTTACTACATCTGCTTTCAACAAGTTAAAACAGGCTTTTACTCATGCACCTATCCTTATCCACTGGCTTCTCAACTGCCAATTTGTTGTGGAAACTGATGCTTCTGACTATGCTATTGCTGCCATCCTATCCATCTACCTTGATGATGGCAAGATTCATCCAATCTCCTTCTTGTCCTGCAGTCTCCATGGCACCAAACTCAACTACAATATGCATGATAAAAAGCTTCTAGCTATTTTCAAGCTTTCAACTATTGGTGCCATTATCTCAAAGACTCTGTGGAAGCTGTTGACATTGTTACAGATCACAAGAACCTTGAATACTTTTCTACAACTAAGATCCTTACTTGACATCAAGTGCACTGGTCTAAATTCCTCTCCTAATTCAACCTTGTTATTTGGTTCTGACCAGGTAAACTTGGTGGGAAACTGGATGCCTCATAATTTCTGACCTGTTTTCACTCAAGAATAACTCTCTGCTTCCCTCTGCACTACATTCCTTGAAGATCCTGTCTTACATGCTATCATGGACATCAACAAACTCCACTCTAATATCAAGAACACACAGTCATCAGACCCCACTGCCATTGGAGGCCTTCAACTTGCATCCTTCCCTTCCAATCCCTCTTGGTGGTTCATGGATGAATCAAAACTACTACATCTTGACAGCTGCATCTATGTCCTGGACTCCAATGATCTCCATCTTTGTGTCCTCTAAAACAAACACAACCACATCTTGGCAGGTCATTTTGGTCAAAACTGGACTCTTGAACTTGTCCAATGGAATTACACCTGGCCACAGATGCATGAATATGTTCACCATTACATCAAATCTTGCACTACCTGCAGATGTAACAAAGCACCTAGACACTGCTCTTTTGGCTTACTCAAACCTTTGCCAGTCCTGGAGCATCCATGGGATTCCATTTCTATGGACTTCATTGAACAATTACTGGATTCCAATGGATTCACCACTATTCTCATAGTGGTTGACTGTGCAAGTAAGCAAGCAATTTTCATTCCCACTCACAACACCATCAACTCTGAGGAGCTTGCCCAGTTATTTGTTACCCATGTGTTTGCTAAGCATAGTGTCCTCAATCATATAACCTCTGATCTTAGCTCTGAATTTGTCTCCGAGTTCATGTGTGTTCTTGCTAAAGTCTTGGATATGGAACTTCACTTCACTTCTGGATATCACTCAGAGGCTGACAGACAAACTAAATGCACTAACCAAACTCTGGAACAGTACATCCACATTTACTGCTCTTATCAACAAGACAATTGGGATACCTTACTACCTATTGCCAAGTTTGCCTACAACAATGCTTCTAACACCTCCACCAGAATCTCTCCATTCTTTGCTAATAAAGTCTACCACCCCAATATTACTATGTATCCTGAACACAATATTGTCTCCACTCAGGCCTGTGATTTCATTGTTAACCTTGATGAGCTTCACTAAATCCTCCATGATGAGATCACTCATGCTCAGTCTCATTACAAATTCCAAGCAGACAAGCAATGGTCTTCAGCCTCTGACTTCAAAGTAGGTGACAAAGTCTATCTCAGTTCTAAACATATCAGAACTACTTGCCCTACCATGAAATTTGCTAAAAAATTCCTAGGACCATTCAATATCATTGCTCAGCCTGGATCCCATTCCTTCACTCTCAAACTCCCATCAGACCTCCATTCCATTCACTCAGTCTTCCCAGTCTCTCAACTCGAACCTGTGGAGATCAACACTATTCCTAACCATACTCAATCTTGTAATGCACTAACTTGGATTGCTGGACATTTACCTCCAAACTGTCACTCACGTTCAGTGATTCAGTATGATGGAGGGCATTGCAAACACTAGGTTAGGGACAATAGTCCTTAGTCTTTTGAAGCAAGGAGTTTCTGCATGAAAAGTTAGGAGTGTATAACTTTAGCTGAAGCTGAGGTATAAGACCACAGTGAGGCTCATTAAATACATTATAGTATTTACTAGTGTTGTACCTTCCCCGTGTCATGCAAGGTCCCAATGCAGCGCTGTCTTCTAGGTCCTCTGTATCGTATAGCATTGATATGGTAGAAGCGAGCCTGCAAGTCAGAGGGGTGATGCTAGCTTCTGATGAGCGTACATGGCACCCTATCCATCCTAGGATGTGATCAGAGTCAACCTAAAGAAGCGTGACTGGGTAAAGGAGGGTTGGGCCCATAGTTGTGTGATCGGATCTATGGGCCATCAAATGGATCATGCATGTGATCAATCAGGTCATGAATGATGCAGATCAGGTATGAGAAATGATGACGAGAGTTGAATGATGAGTTGATGAGATCAGATAAGATAAAGCAAAAAATAGGGGTGGATTCATGACAAATCTCCTCCATCTCCAGTCAAAGTTGACAGTGAAGAACAGTATAAGATCACTCAAATTCTTGACTCAAAGCTTGACCATTAGTTCCATTGTCCCCTCCTATACCAAGTCCAATGGTTGGGTTATGAAGGTACTGATGAAGAGTTTGCCTGGATCCTCACTACAGAATTCTCTATGGACAAATATATTGAAGATTTCCACCATCGTTACCCAGACAAACCAGGTCTGTTATCCAAAGTCACTATCCACAAAGTCTCCCTTAAACTCTCATCCATTACTTCTTAAACTATCCCTAAATTATTGGTGTCCTACAGCTTTCACTCCTTGAATTCTAATTGGGAACAGAGCCTAATGGACATCTATTTCTTGATTTTCCTTACTTTCCTCTCTCACTCACTCAAGTATACAAGTCAAGATATATATATATTGCCCATTGGGGCCTGTGCTATCAAAATCTGTGTATAAAAAATTATCCAAGTCCAAAAGATTTAGGAGTCTGTGGGCACCAACTCATCCATTACCATGTCTTCATCCACCTTATCCTCTTCTCCACCTTGCTGTTCCTCTCCTTCTACCAGCATCTCAATCAACTCCAACTCATCTAAGATTGGAATCCTGGTAGAACGTGCCTCTAGTAACATTGCTGGCCTTTTTTCCTCTGTTTCATCAAACTCTCCCTCTGAATCCTCTACTAAAAACCCATTCACATGCTGCAAATAACACTTTCACAATGCCCACTTGCCCCATTGGCCACTGTGCTCATAATACTTTCTTCTTGTATCCAAAAACTTGGCACATGCCTCCAAGGCTTTTTTGAGACCATCCTCACCATAGTAACCATACCAAAAATGCATGTTGGCCAATTCAAAGGAGTCACTACCATCAAAAGTATTGGGGCCCATAACATGTGCATGCCATACTTGTGTGACATCCTTGTCAAGTCGCATTTGTATGGCCTTCCAAAGGGCCTCCATATTGACATTCTTGAGCTTTTCCAACTTGACCTTCAAAGACTGAATCTCACACTTGCACTCCTCAGTGAAAAAATCCTGCAGATACTTTAGTTCATTGTCAGGATAAAAATCATTGACTAAGTCATCAATGTGGCTTCTGAGAAAATCCACTTTTCCCTCTATATGCTCCAACCCTTCCTGAAACATC